ATTTAATCGTCAGTGTCCTCCGATACTTCCAGAGTTTCAGTAGCATTTCTTTTCAGCAAAGGAAAGATGGGGCAAAGGGAGGCGGCAGGGGCGACACAACGGGAACGGTGCTTTCATCAAGTCGGTCGTTTTGCTAAATGCAGTTTTGTCCATTCGGAATGGCCGCAATCTTTGTGGTGACAGAAAAAGCGGAACGGTGTTTTCGGCTACACCCAAAGGGGCTACTGGCACTTCGCTTCTTGGCTGGGACGTGGCCCTGAAAGATCTTGGGCTCGGCTTCACTATTCTCTTCTCAAGGCTGAAGGTACCCAGTCCTCCAATCTGTGATCCTTGTGGGCCTTCGTTTCTAGTTCCCTGATCAGGTTTGTTGCCCTTCTTAAAGAGTGGAATCCAAATCTGGGCATTGTGTTTGATGTGAGGTTTGGCCAGTGCAGAACAGAGCAGTCATTTCTTGTGCTTTTGAGACTATTTTTCCGTTGACGATGGCGCTTTTCGGAGGAGCAAAGCTCAGGGAACCAAGGTTCAATTGGGATGCCAGGAAGTACTTCCTGATGGTTGGGTCCCCTCGGGTGTGGACTGGGCTTCCACGGGAGGTGGTTGAGGCCCCATCGGTGAGGGTGTTCAAGGACAGACTGGACATGCACATGGTGGGCATGCCATGAGCGGAGCCAGCTGGAGCCGGGGGTCAGACTAGATGGCCTGGGAGGCCCCTTCTGACTCACTCAGTTTCTATGTTTGTCTATTTCCCTTTTTCAGCAGCGACATCACATGACTGATCTATATTCAGCTTGGGTTCAATTGTAATTCCAAGCTCCTTTTCACACATGCTCCTTTTTTCAGAACTTTACACTTGTCTCGGCTGAATTGGATTGTTATTTTCTCTCCACTTCTCTAATCTGTCAAGATTGTTTGAAGTTTTGTTTCTCTCTTCTAAACATAGCATCCGTTCCTCCCAGTTTCTCCTACCTTTCCCCCCAGATGTGAAAGGGTGCAGGACAAAACTGCAGCGCCCTACTCAGGACCCCCCTCCAGTGTGAAGAGGATCCATTGGGCTCTTTGAGGATAGTCGACGCTCATTGATACCCAGTTCCTCGGCCCCTGTTGGTCCACCAAGTAGCAGTGCCGCTCAGCCAGCATTTAGCCAGCTTGCTAATCTGACTCTCATGGGGCCTTGCTGAAGTCAAGCTATGCTACATCCTCAGCATTCCACAGCGATCAACACAGCAACCTGTTACTCTGGGAGACGCGTTCTTCTCAAATCCCCACTGATTTCCAGTGGTCGTTGCATCCACTTCAAGGTATTTGCAACCTGACCACTTACTTTATCATCTCCTCTGTAGTCTTGCCAGGTGCAGACTCTGGTCCATAATTCCTTGACTCTTCTTTTTCAAAATAAGGACATGGCCTTCCCCCAGTCCTCGGGTACGTCGGACCTTCTCTGGAGGTTCTGATCGCCCGTCCTCCAGCACCTTCAGCCTTCGAGTATGCGGTTCCTCTGGACCTAGAGACCTGGACTCATTTCAGGAGCTTGGATATTCCTGGGCCATCTTGCTGTCAACCTCACGCAGCACTCCCACCTTTTCAGCCTGTTTGTCACATATACCAGATGTGACAGAGATCCTCTTGTGGGAGAAGCCCGTGCCAAAAGAAGAATTATGTTGTTCTGCCCTTTCTTTGTCGCTTGTCAGCATTTTGTCATCTTCACTGAACAGCTGGTCTGCCATTACATTTGTCCTCCTTTTACTGTGAATTCATCTGAAGAAGCCCTTTCTGTTAGGGGAACAGGCTGTGTTTCTCTGCTCTCTCTAGGGAATGCTTGAGAAAGATTGTGAGGTATTCTAAGACTACCTGCAACCCAATCTGAATACCCGTGGCCTGTGTGTAAACTCAGGTCTGTGTGTAAACCGTGTGTAAACCGTCGTATGCCCAGGCTCCCTGCTCCAGCAAGGGTGAAGGTGTGCAAGGGTGACAGTGAAATTATCCAACTAAAAATTGCATTCTTAAGCAAAGCAAGAGCAGGCTATGCCAAAGATTATACTCATCATTAGTTTCTGTATCAATACCCAGGCCAAGACAATAAAGTTGGGAGTTAAAATGATTTAGGTTTTGGAAAACAAGAAGCCGATATATCCAGTGACTTGTCATTTACACAAAAAATACAGGGAAAGGACTTGATGTTACCTAAAGTGCCTCTCTGTCTAAAGGGATCGCTTAATTGTAGTCACAAATCTCCTTGAATGCTTTTCTGGAGAGATGAAGCAAGTTAAATTTGTGTATCATTCAAGAGCTTGCTGCTGAATTGGATATGAGATGGAGATTTTAGCAGCGGCTCTTTCTGCATCTTTAAGACTCCCACCCGATTGTTTTCTTCTGTGCAGAAATTTCGAAGCAGCATGGGACCAGGCACGCTGCTTCCCACCCCCCTCCAGCTTCATTAGGGCTTTGGACTCCCCCCCAGGGCATCATCTGGGGTCACGGTCCAGCAGCCCAGAAATGTACCTTGCTTTGCATTTTGATTTGCAAAAATCTCCTTAGCATTTTACAAGAATGGAGCACTGCGGTTGTTATGTTAAATAAGTGTAATTACCATGCGTTAAGGGAATTTTCCATCCTTGACTTGCCACAGGACTTGCTTTCTCACACTGCGGAAAATACACCCCACAGCGCTCTCCTTTAAAAAAAAAACCCAACCAAAACTTTATAGGTTTTTTCCTTCTCCCCACCACCCCGCCATGGGATGGTTGCAATTGGGAGGGCTGCGCATGGAGTCTGACGCCGCCATCAATGTGCAGCCGGATAGCTCTTTCCGTGATGAAGCCCCGTCATGGAATGGACCCACACAGGCCTGGGTGCCATCGGGCCGCTGGGGCCACACGCAGCGCTTCCGCTGCTTTTCCAGCCAGCGCCTGAGTCTGGTGGCCCTTCCTCCCTCTGAGCAAGAGCGGGGCCATGTTGCTGCCGCTGCCGCCGGCATTTCAGAGGAGGGCTGACCGGCTGAGCCTACCAGGCTGGATGCAAGCAAAGCACGGCACTGACGCTTCCCTTACCGCCCTGTTGCCATTTGAATGGGCACATGGGTCCAGACGGGCTGCAGACGAAGCAAGGGGAGGCCGGCGCTGTGGGAGCGGGACAGTCGCCGGAAGACATCGGGGGCCAGGCCCGCCGCGTCTCCGAGGCCGTTTGTCTGGGTACTCTGCACATGCTGGTTTCCGAGCGGCAGAGCCAGCGGCCCCGACGTGCTTGTCGTGGACGCCGAGGGCTTCCAGGGGCACGGATAGGTAGTGCCCGCTTCGCACAGCCAGGCCGGCCGCCTCGGCGGTTGGCTGCAGCTCGACCCACGTGAGCCTTTCCCTGCTGGTGCCGGAACAGCTGTGGGCGGCCCCGTCGGGATGCTCCATCCGCCGTCACTGCAGGCCTGCAGGCCTCCAGGCATGGCCTCCACCTGGCTTGCAACGCAGAAGGAGGCCACCTGCCGGCAGTGACTCGTGCGGAGGGGCCTGCATACCTGGACGCTGGCGCACGGAGGGACCGGGACGCGGGGCTGCCCCCCCCCCACCTTCCCAGCAGACGGAGTGAGCGCACGTGGGGCCGGCCCAGGCAGCCTTCCCACCTTTTTGCCGGGTGGTGCGGGTCTCAGAGCTCCGAGGCCTCTGCGCACCTGCTCCCAGGGAGGCTGCCTGCTCTCTGCCATTGTCGCCGTCTTCTTGGGGGCCTCCTCCTCGTGGCCACACGTCGGTGGCTTGGCAGGTAGAGAACCGAGGGACGAGCCGCTGTCTTCTCACCACCAGTGTGCACTGGGCCAGAGTGAGAGGCGGGGGCACAAGCGGCCCAGTGGGGACGGGGGGGGCTGCCACGGGCCAAGGCTCCTCCTTCGGACAACCGCCGGCCACAGGTCTTTCCCGCCCCGGCCTGCCCTCTCTCACATTCCCTGCAGGAGCAACTCCAGGGGGCTGCTGTCAGTCGGGCCCTGCTCCCCAGCCATTTTTCAGCTCAGAAGACCTTCTGTGCAATGGCTTTTCTTTCCCCCATGAAGGAGGGAAAGAAACAGGATGTCTGTATTTTCCCTGTATTTTTCCCTTTGCAGGTGAAAGGGAAAGGAGGCTGGAGAGGGAACTTTCAAGGAGAAAACGACCCACTAGGGAAAAGCAATGGATCCTCTTCATTGTGTACCCAGAGTCGTAGCTCGAGCAGACTAGGGGTTTTGTGTGGTTTTTAAATTTATTTTATTCTTTATATATCTATTTCAGTTCTAAGCCTCCCCATTAGCCATATAGCTCCCTGGGCAGGTTACAGCAGCAAAATACAAAATAAACTACAAAATAGATTAAAATGCAATATAAAATGACAATTATAAATAAAAATGTTAAAGCCAATATAAGATGCAGCGCAATATCAAACCGTGTCAAACGCGGCGTGTTTGTTTTGCTTTGGTTCTTAGATGCAGCGAAATGACTTGTGGGATCCCAGGTGTCGTCAGCGAACCGGCCGGGGCTGCTGCTCTCACTGGGCCGTGTAGCCAGTGGCGCACGGCAGAGTCAAGGCCTGGCTGGCAGGGGCCCACCTGCAAGTGTAGAGCTGCTCTGGGGCTGGGGGGGGTGAGCCGGGGCCCTGCAGGTGGCTTGGACTATGACTCTTCCTGGCCCCAGCCATGGCCACATATTGCGGAGGTACCATGTTGACCAGTCCTGCTGTGGAGCGTCACTCTTCATTGTATAGAGTTCTTAAGGAACCGGCAGGCATGATCTGCAGGCCAGTCCTTACTTGAATAGGGTCCATCATGCCCTGGAACAGTAGATATGCCTGTACGATTCGATGTTACTGATGTCTAGAAATCATATCAACGCAGACCATTTCTCACTTCTAGTAGGAGTGCATTTCTGAACAACAGGGTGGCACGCAAACCCGATTGATCCACATTGGAAGTCACTGGCTTACTCTAGTTGCGTAGGATTTGGTCAACACAGTACCAATGAGCCTTCTGGCCTGCTAATGTGTTTCAGGTTCATCCAAGAGATTGAGCACGCTTTGGGACTCAGCCCAGCGAAGCAGTGCCCCCTCCGGGAATTCCTCACCATGTACATCAAGAACATCTTCCTCAACCAGGTCCTGGGTGAAATCAACAAGGAAATAGAGGGCGTCACCAAGATAACCGACCCGCTGAAGATCCTGGCCAATGCAGACACCATGAAGATGCTCGGGGTGCAGAGACCTCTTCTGCAGGTAAGGGCGCTGGGTGGATTTCAGAACGGGGCTTCCCACTCGGGTTCTGGCACATCTCCAGGAGACAGGCTGGGCACCACTGCAGAAGAACCAGCAAGGACACTTGACCACAGTTGAAAGTACAAGTCGTGCAGGCGACTCGGCAGCTTCCTTCAGAAAATGGAGGCCGTGCTTAGATGAGGAAGCTAACAGGAGTACAAGCTTGCACAAGGCAGGTTGCGAGCGCATGATAAGAGATGCCAAAAAAGAAAAGAGGAACATATTGTTCATAACGTGAAGGCCCATAATAAAGAATTCTTTATATATTTTAGAAGCAAGAAACCAGCTGGAGAGGTAGTTGGACCACTGGATGATAATAGAATTAAAGGAGTACTAAAAGTGGATAAGGAATTGGCAGAGAAGCTGGTTGAATTCTTTTTATGTGTTTGTATAGCACAGTCATTACCTGTTCCTGAACTTAAATATTCAGGAAGGGATTCTGAGGAATTAAGGTAGATGGTGATGATAAAAGATGAAATCTCAAATGTATTGACATACTGAAAGTTAATAGATCACTAGACCCATTTGTATCCATCCTGGATTTTCTAAAGAATTCTAATATGAAATTGGTGACCTTCTTTCAAAAATATGTAACACGTCTTTCAGATCAACACTGTTCCAGAGGACTGGAGAATGGCCAGTATAACACAAGTTTTTAAAAAGGGATCCAGTGGAACCCTGGCTCCTTCACTTAATGTCTGTTCTGAGTAAATTGATTGAAAGGGCTATGAAAGATAGAATCTGTAGGCATATACGGCGCAAACCCTGCCGAAAAAGCATCAACGTAGCTTCCACAAAGCCTTGTCCTGTCTCACCACCCTGGTGAGTTCTTTGTTTGCATGAACTCGCAATAGTCTTTTGATGAAAACCCTCAACTGAGGAAACCGAGCAGAAATGGATTAAAAGGATCAAGAACTGGTTAAAGAACAGAAGACTGGGAGTAGGAGTAAATGGCAAACTCTCTCAGCAGAAGGATGTACTCAGTGGGGTCCCACAGGCAGAATTCTGTATTTTGACCAGTGCTTTCCCACTCAGTCATGAATGCTTTGGAACGAGGAGTGACCAGTGAAGTGGCCAAGTTTGCTGATGACACTAAGCTATTTTGGGTGGTTGAACCAGAAAGGATTGTGAGGAGCTTCAAGGGGCTCTCTCCACACTGGGAGAACGGGCATCCGATTGGCAAACCCTGTTCGGTGTAATCAAGTGCAGAGCAACGCATGTTGGGGCACAGTCCCAACTTCGAGTATAATCTGATGGGATCTGCAAAAAATGGAGATATTGCCATATCCCTTACCTTACATTGCCTACATGGACAGTCAAGAAAGCACCCTTATCTGTCAGATGTGACATTGTCTGTTTAGGCTAATACAAACATGATCTGCTTGAACATTTATTATTATTATTATTATTACATTTTTATACTGCCCATAGCCAAAGCTCTCTAGGCAGTTGACAGCAATAATCATAGAATCATACACTCAGGTCACCCATCCCACTTCTGCCCAGGCCTGACCCTGCTTAGCTTCCAAGATGAGGCAGGATCAGGCACTTCAGGCTACATGGAAGCTTTTTTTAAAGAGAGCCCACTCTCTCTTTTACATGTGTCATTTTCGCACCTGAGCCAGCTGGCTCGTGGCCAGTGGAAATTGCATGCCGCCTGCCGCTCTTTTCCAGCACAAGTCTCAGTAAAACAACGGTCTGCTTACTTCCTTGCCTCTCATTGCAACCAGTGACCAGAGAAACAAAGCCAGTGGCTGATGTTTTGATATTTGTTGTTTCCTTGCAGACATTTAAAAAGAGGACTTATTGCGCAGAAGGCAAATAGTTCAAGAAAAACTCTTGCCAGTTTTTCCTCTGTCAATAGTGTATGTGGCAGCTTTCCCCAACTTGGAGTTTTCCAGATGGTTTGGATTAGAACTCCCAGAATTATTGACCATTGGTCATGTTGGCTGGGGCTGCTGGGAGTTGAAGTGCAGAACGTCTGGTTGGTGCCAGTTTGACAAAAGTCTGATACGCACGTCTTCAACCCAAGGGCACCTCTTGGTCAAAAAAGGGACTTCCCAGGGACTTCTCCTCATGGTGCTGGTTCTGGCTTGACTGACGTTGTAGAGCTACAAAAGGAAAGGACTTTTTGTGTATGTGGTAGCACGTCAAGCGGCCTAAAGGATTTCTTGTCTTGCAGCTAGAGGGAACATTCCCATATAAATGGAAAATGGAGTCATGTAGAATAGAATGTTCCAGGCTTTCCGACTAGTAGTGCGTTGACCCTCTGGCGTGTGTTCATAGCATCCAGCCCTATCTACTTGGCAAGAATTCTGTTTATCTCCCTTTATCAAGTCAATTCTTCTGTGGAAGTCTAGCCATTCTCTGAACTAAGACCCTGATAGCAGAGCTGTATTGAATTCGGTATGACCAAAAGGCCAATGACGGGCATCTGCATTTGGCATCCCACACAACATCTCAGTACATCAAGTTAAGTACGTTTGGTCTTTGTGGTGACTGGTGAGTGAAACTTTGGGCATCCAGACCCTACCAAACTTGGGTAGACAGTGAAGACTCCAGACTTTTGGAGGGAAATGGATCTCCTGGAGTCTCAGACCAGAGCATCCTCGGTCAAAAATGCCCGGGTGCAACTGGGTTGCTGGGCCGCTTCCATGGCGACGGCACTCATCCAGTAGGAATGGCAATACGTCAGTTTCTCGGGCCATGTGCAGCCACCCTGAAGATGCACCCTGCAAGCCAGAACTTGTGAGGGCCACCTCGATAGCCAAGCGCCACAACGAGTTGCACAGTCCCGCCATTAGTGGCGCACGATCATCCGTCCCCACAGCGTCTCCTTGAGTACATCTATCTCCCGAGGCAAAGCACGTTGCAGTTCCTTCTTCTCCCACTCTGGAGCCGGCAACGTGCGCGCTTGGGATGACCGGGTCTTCTTGACGTGGCTCCCAAGGCTGCTTCAAAACAGATTCCCCTCCACCCTCGGGAGGCGTCTTCCCTTGGGACGCGTCACATGTGCACGACCATAAGTGCTTTTGACAAAGCCATCCCATAGCGGACGGTCGAGCAAAACTAGTTCTGAAGGCGACGGCACAGCTGCTTCCGCTGTCATTACTTGCTTGAGATAATGAGGCCGTCGCAGACCGCCGTTCCCTCTCGCTTCTGGGGGAGAGCGCTTGCGACTCTCCCAAGAAAACATCCCTGCCAGCCGTGCAGGCATACTGTCCTCATCTTGTCAAATTACTGCGCTTTAATCAGATGGATGTTGGGGACGCACAACGTTCAAATGGCCACCGACTGCCAGGCGGGTTGTGTTACGTAGTGCTATAAACAAATGAGTTTTCTTTCAGGTCCATTTGCAGCCCTAATCAGAACCTATTAGGCTGCAGTTGTAGCCGATCAATCGTGCATCCCTTGCTTCTCAAGACTGAACGTGACCTTTGAGACATGAGTGGAAATTCTGATCAATAAATAATGCTTTACAGCAATGTAGTAATTTTCAGGCTTCTCAGAAGTGCTTTTTTTGAATATTTGCACACACACTTTCCATTATCGTAGCTAAACTGAGCCCCCAAGAGGTTATTTTACAATGAAGGATAGTCTGGATCCTGGGATAAACACAGCTGAAGGTAAAGATTCTGTGATGCAGGTTTGTTTGTTTTAAGGTATACATTTTCCCCTTTCGGTCTCCATTTAGTTCCCCAAAGCAGCTGATAGCGGGAGTATGAAAATAGCAGGGTTAAAGCCGTGCTCACTAATTACTGCTACTTTTAACAGGTTAGTGTTGCATCAGTGGAGATCTGGGCAACACGGTGGCTTTTTTAAATGAGGTGCCATTTCACTGGCGCTTTGTGAGGAAATCAGAACTGAATTGTGCGCAGGTTGATCCAGCGAAGCGCATGTCCAGCGTGGGGCAGCCTCGGTGGGGAGATTCACACAAGTAGCATAGATCCCCGAGCTCCCTGCGGAATGTCTAGGGCCGCCCCAGAGGAAAGATAGTCCTTTCCCTTCCCAAGACGGTCACAACCTTCCTGCACGTTGGAACATAGAATTGGGCGTGAGCCAGCCCACTCAGAGAAGCTTTTTAGTTGTGGCTCAGATTGGAACTGGGTATGACACATATTATGGGATTCCTGCCAGCAGCTGCTGCCCCGTGTCAAGCTCTCCCTTCTCGCTTCTTGATTTAAGTAAGAAAACATGTCATTCCCTCTTTCCTCACCATACGTTCAGGATCGGCCAATAATATGGAGTGAGCCTAGAAGAAAGCATGATGCACTGAGCCATTTCCTAGCCATCCCTTACAGGTAGAAGTAGAGGAACTCTCGTTCATGCCAAGTTCCCGCTTTTGGCCGCAACCCTGCCTGACTCCACTCTCGGACAATGGTCTGGGCAACAGCCAAATCCCTGGCCCTGTCTGTTCAGCTGGCTTGGTGTTCCCAAACCCTTCCTGCTCCCCAGCGTTTCTTCATCTCCTCCCCCTTCTCTGGCTGTCCACCTGCCTGCCTACCTGGCACATTGTTCCCTGGTGCACGCTGGGGGTCACACTTGCCGGGATGCAAGAAGAAGAAAAATTACCTAGAAGAAGGAAACATCGATGCTTGGTAGCTAGCAAATATATTGGTAATGTTCATGTAACTCTTGGTGCATAAACATCAGCTTCAAAGGACAGAGCCACACAGGATGCAGAAACGGCTTGATGGGTGTTGAATCGTGCCTGTTGCCATGTGCCATCAAGTTGTCTCCAGCTTAGGGCAGCCCTCTGAATGGAGGCCCTTCGAATAATGCCCTTACCCACGGCAGCCCTCAAGGTCACGGCTTCCCTTATGGAGTCCATCCACCTCATATCTGGCCTTTCCGTTCTTCTGCCGCAACTTCCCCTCCCACGATGCTCTTCTCCAGGGACTCTTGCCATCTCACGATGTGTCCAGATTCCAGCGGCTCCCGTTTTGTCATGTCCGCTTCCG